TATCCATGCTATGCAGCTATGTTAATAAGCACACTGCAGTTTTTGCTATCCTCAGAGCTCAAACTCCTTTCATGACTTGGCATCTGTATTTATTGTTCAGTAGGTCCTACTTTTCAAGGTATGCTATTTTGCTTGTTTCAAGATTCAAATAACAAAACAGTGTGCTATATACGAAAGAAATTTAACAGAAGATAGAGCCAATCACTCATATGACATCTGGCTCCTTAGGTCATTCAGTTTTTTGGTGCAGGAAAAAGATGGTCCTTTGAATAAAATGGCATACATATACAAAATATATTAAAGAATATAGTAGGATATTGCCATAAAATGTTGACCTGAACTGCCTGATGAAACTACTGTGTAAGTTGCTTTAATCATGATACCTTCAGCCAACAGAGAACTCTTTGTATTACCACTATGATCTTGTGTCTTCTATTTGTTCTATTAGCATTTAAATCTGATAAATCTTTAAAAATCCAAGATTTAGTCAGCTTTATACAGCTAATATATATGTTAATGTAGTTCCAGTGCAAGATTAAAGCGTGCATCTTGTTAGCAGAATAACTTTCCTGCCATAAATGCCAGGTTAATATGCATCCAGGTAACTCATTAAGCAATACATGTTTTCTGCTGTATAACACTAAACATCAATAAAGTTACTACTACTATCAAATGCATACTGAGGTTACAATAAAAAACATTCATTTTAGGATATAACAAAGGAAATAAGAATTACAGCAGCATAACATTTTCTTGGTAGAACTCTGGTCAAAATATTTTCTTTTAGATAGGATAGGGAACAAAGTTAGAAGCCATGCCAGTTTTATATTGCTTGTTGAGTCATTTAATGAAGATTTCTGTGCACTTTCTGTCCCAGAGATATAACAGGAAATGGATGAAAATCTTCCCAAAGGGAGGCAAAATCTACATCCTTATATCCTTGACAACTGACACTGGAATGGGAGCTGAAAGGCCAGTATTGGGACCAATCAGACTCTGTTGCATGCACATGTGCCTATGCAATTAAAATCAAGCAGCAACTAAAGTCAGCTTTGTGCCAGTCGAACCACAAGACCCCAACCTGAATGTTGGGTAAGGCCTTGTAGCAGCTCTCTGTAAGTTGTTTTTTTGACAACAGCTTCAAAACAATAAGAAATTACCCCAGAAATTGTTTGATTGATCATTTTGGGTTTTAAAGAATATGTCATCCTGTTAATTTTCAGGATCTGCTACATTAAATGACATGCATGTTTAGTTTTCCAACAAATGGTGACCAGAACAATGGTGCCCTGGAAGGCAACCAGGTTTAACTGTGCCAAATTCCAAAAACATGACTGTCTGGAAAACAGGGACCTAATATGACTCACAAAGTCCTAAATAGCTGACCCTGTTTTACCCAGTGACACATTATTTCAGTCTGTCAGACGGAGTCAGTTCCTTTTCCTTTGTTGATTTTTGTAGGCAGATGCCTTCACGACAAAGCTTCAATTATATTGTTGTGTGGAGAACTGAGCTCAAGCCGCCTTCCTCTGTAATCAGCATTCACCAACTATACAACCTAGAGATGATGTCAGAACAGAACTGAGGAGTAGCTTAAGTGTTTGTGATAACAGTATTTCTCAGCGATATATATACTTAATAAACTGTTGACATACAGCACATACATTGATAATACCACATCACGCTATACAGAAAAAATCCACACAACAAATACACTGTAACTGTTATTCAATTTGTATTGTACCCTAAAGCTTAAGTTTAGTCAAAACATTTTTTTTAATCAGCACAAGGGCCAGTACTTTCATTCAGGTTAGGTTAGACAGGTTGAGCTTGTGTGGATGCAGAAATCTGTTAGGTTTTTTTTTTCCTTCAACCCACTTGTTGAACAAAAAAAACCCCCTCAGTGTATACCTAACTTTAGGCTTTTCTTCCTCTTTAAGAGGAAGAGTTTACATTATGCAAGTGGCAATAAAAGCGTGAGCCAAGGGAGGTGTATTTTACTGTCCTCTTTTTAGGCAAATCGTTTTTGGCACTTTATTATTGGGCCACTGCAATGCATGGTAGTAATTCAGTGCTGCTGTAATGCTTTAATTTAATTCTAAAAAGAATACTAAATTTTTCCCAAAAGCTTAAAGTGTTCTTAAAGTGTTCTCTGGATTTTGGCTTCAATTTCTTAGAGTATCTAAATCTACTGTTACAACTAACACTACCCTCCCTCCAGAATAACAATTATGCTGTCCAAAGGTGTCTCTGTGCCCCTTTCATCCAGAGTGTAGGCACTCTAATACAGGAGATATGTGTTATTGGCCGGAACACCAGGTGACAACATAGGGTAAAAAAGCCTAAAAGAAAAAAAATTCAGCCACCACATCTGGGGATTAGTAAACTACAATATATTACATTTTTGTTTTTGGTTTAATACCGCTTCAGCTTCCAAAGTCATTTCCCTACCTCCAGCCTTCCTATTGCACAGTGAATCAGCATCATCACCTCTCTTCAATCAACAATGAGCTGACCATTACACAGTATTGGTAAATCAGGAACTAACAGAGGGATCTTACTGACTTGTAGAACTGTGGCAGCCAAAACTACAAATCATTTGTCAAGCTAAAAAGTAAAGATATTTTTCAACAATTTTCCTAGTTTCATTTTATATGAATTATTTTCAATAGATACTGATGATTTTTTTCCATAATTTATTGTTTTCTGTTGGGTGCATGCTCACTTGTGCACTCCTAAGTACAGAGTAGTGATCGGTAGCTGGTAGGATGGGCTTCCATTCCAATAAGCCAATGAAATGTCTTTTTCAGCATTAGGGGTTAATTCACAGTGAATGACTAATTGTAACACTAGCTTATTATTAATTCATGGCAGATTTTCTTCTTTCTGTTTGCCATGAATGTAAATTTACCAAAAATCCTATGTTTTTGTTACTTTGCACTGCTAGTAATAGAATAATCAGGGTTGTTTGGGGATGTGCCACCCACATTTATTTAAACTGGACACTCGAACAGGCATCCACTATTAATAATAATAACGATTAGTGGCAATCAATTTTTTCCTCCCAATCTCCCCCTACCCACCAAAACAACACATGCATTGAATGCTTAGTTTAAGTGCCATGTAAAAAGACATACAGGACTAATGGAAATACTACATCATTCGGTGGAAGCAATTATGCACAAGATAGAAACATTTATCACACAAACCAATTTGTGACCTTGGGTGCCTATACATCATTACTGAACTGCGGCAGCGAAGTTATCGTTTCCAGGACAAGGAGAAAAAACCTTAACTAATGCTCATTATCTGGCAGTGAATAAAAACTTTGCATACACAATATAGTCTGCAAGAGCATACATTTATATCTTTTCACAGCATATAAACACTAATGAATAATAATGTCACGCTAAATAAATTCAGACAACGCTTGTACTGTATAACTAGTGTACTTAATGTGCTAAGCAACCTGAAGGCGTAAGGAAACATTATATCATTATCATATATGTCTTGTTCCATGTTCTGGCCGAGAATAGATCACATTTTCTTCATAGCCACCCTGGCAACACAATGCTAAGGTTCAGCTAATCTCACGCAATGTTGGGACCATTCAATCGGTTGCACTGATATATATTTAAAAATATATATCTCCATCTTGTATTATAATTGAATGGATTCTGAGATTTGTCTAAGGGCACGTCTTGCCTTGGTCTAATCTTTAACACCGGCAGATGAAAAATGGCCCAACTAAACAAAGGCAACAAATCTGACCAACACTTTAAGCAAGTCAAATAGACAATGACGATACATTATCTGAAGTTCAGAAAAATATATTGACGTGGCTGAGCAAATTAGTAAATGGCATTGATAGAACAAAGATGCCTCCCATTATAATACTCGTTTGTGCAGCAGCATGTGTAGGTGACAGAACAGGTCATTTAATCTCAGAATTGCAATTTTTTTTTATATCAGACTATAGTTGTACTGTACTGTATGTATCCACACAATTTGTACACACACACATATATATATATTTCTTTTTATCAAAATGTTTTTCACACTAACAAACCTAGAGTTCTCTTAAAAGAGAAAAACAGATGAAGATAAGTTACTAAAACTTTCCACATAACATACTTCCCAACTATCTGAGATCAAAGGGAAAACATTTAAGCTCCATTCACACCTGAACATTTTTTAGCTCCAACATCCAAAATCCCCTGGTTTTCAATTGTGCTTCACACCTGGGTAATGTTGCTGTAAGCTTTAAAAAGTACATAATCTTCTTTTGAGTTGCAAGTTTCAAATGTCTATGCCCCAACAGATTTCAATGGGAAAGCCGAAAAATTGCATGGACACCTATGAAAAAATGTGCAAATGCCACATATCATAAATTTTTCCCCCCTAGTAACCAGCTTCCCATGGGCTAAAAAAAAGCTTACCAAAGATGCTCAGTTCAAGTGTGAATGCAACCAAAGTACCAACTATATAGGCAAATGACCCACCTCTGCCATACCGCTACTTATTTTGACCAATAAGAATTAACATGCAAAAATTATTATTTAAATAAACAAAACTTATAATACTTATGAACAAAATGTAATGTTATGCAACACTGTACCCATATACAATTTTTATCATTTTTTTGTGACAGAGCTTTATTATGGTGGTATTTAATCACCTCTGGGTTTTTTATGTTTTCCTAAACAAACCAAAAACCACTGAAAAATTTGAAAGCGTTTTTTCTTAGTTTTTGTTATAAAATGTTGTAAATAAGTGATTTTTCTCCTTCACTGATGTGTGCTAATGAGGCTGCACTGATGGGCACTGATAGGCTGCACTGATGGACACTGATAGGTGGCACTGATGGGCACTGATGAGGAGGCACTGGTAAGTGGCACTGATGGGCATTGACAGGCATCACTGATGGGCACTGAAAGGCAGCACTCATATATGGCACTGATAGGCAGCACTAACTGGCACTGATAGGCGGCATTGACTGGCACTGTTAGGCGGCACTGATAGGCAGCACTGACGGGCACTGATATGCGGCACTGATGAACACTGATAGGTGCCACTGACTGGCACTGATAGGCGGCACTGACTTGCACTAATAGGTGGCACTGATTGGCAGCACTGATAGGTGGCACTGACTGGCACTGATGGGTGCCACTGAAAGGCAGCTCAGATGGGCACTGATATGTGGTATTGATGTGGCACTGATGGGCACAGAAATGTGGCACTGATGGGCACTGGCAGGTGGCATGGATAAACACTGAGAGGTGGCACTGATGGACACTGACAGGTGGCGCTGCTGGGGCTACACAGATTATCAGCGCACACTGATCATCAGTGCTCTGAAGATCTGTGTACATGTCCCCTCCGAGGAATGCCGATTACCGGCTCTCCTCTCCTCACGAGCTGTCAGCGTGACAGCTCGTGGGGAGAGAAATGCCTATAACCGGCATTTCCCTATTATGCAACTGATTGGATACAGCTGATCACATGACCGAGCCGACATCTTCGGCTCTTTCCGTGAATCGGTGATCCGCTGTGTCTGAGGGACACAGCGCACTGCCGATCGCCGCGCTGCGTGCTTCGAGAGCCACGCATGCGTGGTTAGAATGGGAGGACATCATATGACATCCTCCCAGAACGAGAGAACCGCCTTGCGTCCGTCAATTTACTAAATGTCGGGCGGGAGGCGGTTAAATAACAAACATGTTAAACTTATTTGCTCTGTGCAGTGGTTTTGTACAGAGCAGTCCTGATCCTCCTCTTCTCGGATCCCCTGCCGGAACTTCTTGCACCTCCACCCTGCACGAGTGCCCCCATAGCAAGCCATTTTCTATGGAGGCACTTGTACAGGCTCACTCCTGAACCAGTCCGGTGTGTACATTGACACACAGAACATAGCTTGGCCCTAACCCCACTCCCTTCTCACATGCTGTGATTGACAGCAGTGGGAGTCAACAGCTCTCAGCCTATGAGGAAGAAGAGAGCAGCTAGAGCCACTGCTTTTGTGCACAGCATTAAATCGAGATCAGGCTCAGGTATGTATAAGTTTGCACAACAAGCCAAAAAGAAGAAAAACATTTTCCCTCTGTTTTCCCCTAATAATCTGGCCAGTAACACCCCTCCTGCACTATACAGACACCACTCTGGATAAAGGAGCACAGAGGGCATATTTGGACAGCTGTATTGACAGTCTGGGGGAAGGGAGGTGTTAGAAGTACTTGCAGATTTAAATACAGCGAAGCTTAACTCCAGCTAATACATTATAAGCAGTTACAGAAAGCACTTTTTTTCCCCTTTGGGATACAGGTTTTACATGAGTAAATTAAACCTGATCTTTTTAAGCACCCTTGCCAGTGTTAAATGGTCTGTCTCATCCCTGTAACTACAACACAGCTTTTCTGTTGAAAAACAACAGAGTTACTGGCTGGATCACAGGAAGAAAATCGAAGAAAGAACTCTTGAAAAACAAAACTAATGCAGCCATCACATCTAAGAATTGGTCAGCTGCGATATATTCAATGTTTGCTTTTGGGTTTAATACTGCTTTAACGCATGATTATTATAAGCAGCATTCTATAGCTAGCATCCCTAATCCCATTGCAGGCAAGGGTGGGCAAATCCCAGAAGCCAAGTATCCAATGTTCTACAAAGTTATAATCAGGTCTATTGCTTTTACTGCTTGCCTCAGTCTTCATAAGGAAAATCTGAGCTTTGGTAAACCATGACAAAATCACTATACAAGCCATTAGTGTCAGTAAAAATGATCTTTTCATCTGCAGTCATTCATTACATTCTACAACTGAAATGTGCATCCTCTCTGCAACCACATCAGCTGTACTAAGTTTGTATACAGGAATTCCGATATTTGTAATCCCCCTGCTCATGTAATTGGCTCAATGTCTCTTCTAGAAATCAGTGCAGAGGATGTAGTAAAATTACAGTCGGTTGAATGAAGAGTGATATCCCTTGCAACGTTGTAGGGTATACTGCACTGGATGGATCTTTTACAATAACTATGCATTACAAAAGTGCCGGGTGTACAACACACCATATTTTAAAGCAGAATTGAGTATGTCATTACTAAAAGGCAGAACCTCTTACTAAGTGCATGGGAGAAACTAAGCTCAATATCTACAGATCGGAAGCAGCATCTTCAATAAAACGTGTTAAAATTCTTCCTATGTAGCTGACTTTGAAGAGATTTAACAATAGAGTTTCACTTTAAAGTGTATGTATAGAAAAAAACTCTTTTTTTAGTTTTAAGAGGAATAGTGAAAGCTTAAAACCATTCTCAGATAATTTTTTATTTTCGTATATCGTCTGTATTTAATTTCCTGTTAAACAGAGGCCATAGGAAGTGATTTATAGAAAGCCTTATTCCATGGGTGGGAGACCTATAGAACGTCTTTTCTCACAGGTAAGATATTATTTATAGAAAGCCTTATTCCTACAGGTGGGAGACTATTTATGGAGTCTTTTTCCCACAGGTGGGAGACTATTTATAGAACGTCTTATCCCGCAGGTGGAAGACTATGTATAAAAAGTCTTATCACACAGGTGGGAGACTATTTTTAGAACGTTTTGTGCCACAAGTGGAGGATTATTTATAGAAATTATTTTCCCACAGGTGGGAGACTATTTATAGAAAGTCTTATCACACAGGTGGGAGACTATTTATAGAATTTTTTTCTCACAGGTGGGAGACTATGGAGTATTTTCCCACAGGTGGGAGACTATAGAACGTCTTATCCCACAGGTGGGAGACTATTTATAGAACGGTTTGTGCCACAAGTGGAGGATTATTTATATAAATTATTTTCCCACAGGTGGGAGACTATTTATAGAAAGTCTTATCACACAGGTGGGAGACAATAGAACGTTTTGTGCCACAAGTGGGGGATTATGTATAGAAATTATTTTCCCACAGGTGGGAGACTATTTATATAAAGTCTTGTGCCACAAGTGCCTTCTCTCACAGGTGGAAGACTAATTATAGAAACAAGGAAATTTCATCAAATTAAGGAAACAGATATACCTACTGGAAGATTTACTTTCATTTCGTCTTGGTAAAATTTTGAATTTCCCATCACTTTGGGGTCTATTTATAAAGGTTTTCACACAACTTTCTAATAGGATTGTTTTTATCCAATTAAATCCAATTAAAAAATGTGAGGAACATGTGAGAATCTTGTGCAAAAACCTTTATAGATAGATCCCTTTATAAATTGGTGAGAGTGCTTACCAAGACAAACAGAGAGTGCAAATCTATTCAATTGGAACAAAGACAATACAAATTTGACAGGGGTTCCAATCCATCCTTACTCCATCCAATTATTCCAGCTTAAAAAACAGTGGCTGTTGGCATGTGCTTTCAGCTAAATGACATCCAAATCCACCTTAATTTGTGCACCACTGACTGCAGGTGAAAATTCAAGGTCATCAAGCCTTTGTGTACTACAGTATTCACAGATTTTAGATTTTCTTTTTTTTCTAGTCTTTAGGAAAAATCTATGTTTTTGAGAAACAGCAACAACTTCTCTTAATGACCACATTTGTATTTATTACCCACCGATTAGACCCTAGCTCTTAAAGGTTTGTATGTAATAAAGTCATTCTCCTTGCTTTTTTCAGAGAGGGAGGGTAGAATGTCACTTTGTTAGCACATCAGATAATTTCACATGTTATTATGTATTTGAAGTACATCTAAAATATTTCTGAGATTGACTACTGCTGTAATTAAAAAAGCATAATGTTCAGTGATTCATCCACATGCTGAATTTTGATGGACTTGGTATTTTGCAAGAAAATCACATCTAAATGACTTCTTGAATAAATGTCAATCAAATTACAAAATGAATGGCCTTTCAAATCATACTTATAAAGAGTTTTTAGTGCTAAATGATACTGACACTCAAACACCATACTTTATATGTGGTACTTTGATAAATTAAAAAAGGTAAGTGGAGTCACTTTGTTCTCTTCACCCTATTGACACAGAGAAAGTCTTTCAAAGTCTCTGTTATTAGCACACAGCATACGAAAACACTGAAAGAAAATTGATTATAATTTGATCATTTGTATTATGTGCCAAAGAGTGAATAAAATAAAAGGTTGCAGTACAATTTCAAGCTAAACAAGATCATAAATGGAGGAAAGGAGACACGTTTGCAGTTAAATTAGAGGAGAATATTCTCATATGTGTATAAAAGTATTTAATTAATTAAACTACCAACTTTCTGCATAATTTAAATGTTATATTTTTGTTAAAGTGGTTGTAAACCTCAGACATGAAATATGAACAAAGCATAACCCTCTATAGTGTGTACGTGTCTCAATTAAGAGCACTAAGTGTCATTTCTGTCTGCTGCTTCATTCCTCTGCTATCAGCATGAATCCCTCCTGACAAATTTTCCTGACACCGAGAGAAAAATGGTAACAAGGGAAAGACCTCCAGCAGATTGACAGCCTCAGCTATGTTCCTGTGAGCTGTGTGGAAGGGGGTGTGTCTATCCCTCCAATCAGCTTTCAGAACTCTCCTCACTGAGCTCTGCAGAATGCAACTTCAGCTCTCCGCCCCTTTTTTCTGAACTGTCAGACAGGCTTTATATATTCAGCAGTTTGAATTGATGTAGAGAAAAGAAGACTGCAGATAAACAGGTACAACCTATGTATGAGGATTTGTTTAATCTCTGTGTATCACCTGAGGCCAGTCATTTCACTAAGTATACACTCACCGGCTACCTTATTAGGTACACCCTGCTAGTACCGGGTTGGACCCCCTTTTGCCTTTAACAAGGTGTTGGAAACATTCCTCAGAGATTTTGGTCCATATTAATTGCTTCCCGACCGCCCTATAGCAGATAACCTGCTACAGGGTGACACGGGTGCACAAAATATATATACAGGTGAAACACGAAAAATTAGAATATCGTGCAAAAGTTCATTTATTTCAGTAATGCAACTTAAAAGGTGAAACTAGTATATGAGATAGACTCATTACATGCAAAGCAAGATAGTTCAAGCCATGATTTGTCATAAGTGTGATGATTATGGCTTACAGCTCATGAAAACCCCAAATCCACAATCTCAGAAAATTAGAATATTACATGCAATCAATAAAACAAGGATTGTACATAGAACAATATCGGACCTCTGAAAAGTAGAAGCATGCATATGTACTCAGTATTTGGTTTGGGCCCTTTTGCAGCAATTACTGCCTCAATGTGGCGTGGCATGGAAGCTATCAGCCTGTGGCACTGCTGAGGTGTTATGGTAGACCAGGATGCTTCAATAATGGCCTTCAGCTCTTCTGCATTGTTCGGTCTCATGTTTCTCATCTTTCTCTTGGCAATGCCCCATAGATTCTCTATAGGGTTCAGGTCAGGCGAGTTTGCTGGCCAATCAAGCACAGTAATCCCACGGTCATTGAACCAGGTTTTGGTGCTTTTGGCAGTGTGGGCAGGTGCCAAGTCCTGCTGGAAAATGAAG